AATTTTTCCAGTTTTCTTTTGTTGGTTTTTCTTCCACAAGTTTAGTTGCAAATTTAAGGCTTCTCCCATACATTTTATTTACTAGTGCATGCTTGTACGCAAATGTTAAAACCTACAATATAAAACAAGATAAAGCTTATCTATAAAATACTTACATTTTAAGGCATGCAGTTTTAATAATGAAAGAATTAGGGCTTTAACAGAAATGTAGCTTTTAAAATGAATATGCTATATGAAATAAAGTTTTAACAACTTAAAAAAAATTAATGTCTTCAAAAGAGCTGGGTATGTTCCACAGAGCTAGCAATATATTTTTTGGAGGAAAACTAATATTATGGTAAATCTCTAAGCTGTTGGAATCCACACTAAAATATCACTTTATGTGAAAGAAAACAGAACTAATGTAAATGATTTAAAAATGCAAATTAGGATAGAAATAGAAAACATAAAAGAGCCACTATAAATTACCAAAACTGCGAATGATAAAAATTGAGGAAAAAAAAGTATCAGATTCTACAAACATGTAATTACTTTCAATTCCTTCCTTTGAATAAGTTTTATACCTTTAATCACTGCATGCCAAATTATTTGTAAACGTTAATTTATATGGTTTTAGAATGTAGAGAAATGTCCTTAAAGACAAGAATCCTGTCACATGTATTTGTATTCTAGAGCCAAACAAATATTCCACAATTATTGCCATAAACTTAGTGAACAGACAAGTAATTTAAGGCACAGACTCTAAGATGATAGTACCATTGTAAAAACAAAGGAGCCCAGGTGGCACAACAGTTAAACATTTGGCTGCTAACTGAAAGCGGCCTGAACCCATCCAGTGGCTCCACTGGGGAAAAAAGACCTGGTGATCTGCTCCCGTAAAGATTACAGCCTAGGAAACCCTATGGGGTGGTTTTACTCTGTCTTTTAAGGTCACTGTGAATCAGAATCAACTCGATGGCACACAACAACACTGCAAAAACAGAACTATGTAACAATTTTGTTACAATATTCATCAAGTGTTTATTGATTCGATGGCAAGTTCCCCACAGGCAGGGACCAGATTCCTATCTGTGTGTTTCCGGCAGGAAGTACTGTTTGGCACAGAGTAGATACACAGTAATTGTTAATAATGACAGCAAATATTGCTGAAGACTTTCCAGGTACTTAACACATTCATAACAGTCTATGGTAGGCAGTGTCACCATCCTATTCAAAGGGCATCAAAGTTTAGTAACTTGCCTAAGGTCACATAGTATAAGTGGTAGAGGCATGATTCAAACTCAAGCGGTATGATTTTAGTTCCGAATTCCTAACCTCTACGTAATACTGGTCCCTTCAGTTTCCTGAATACGAGTGTATACACATACCACCGTACTGCTATGAAACAACCTGAAGCATGTAAGAAAAATTTTTCTCCTACTTCCAGAATTCTGCAGCCCCT